TATATATACATAATAAATAAAACAGGATACTTGAGTCTTTTTTGCCACAAATAAATAGCCTTAAATAATTTATTACAAATTAAATTGAGCTTGATTACGGTATTGAGAAGCATGACATACCAACCTTTCCCTGTGTTTACTTTCACCACAACAGGCAGCTCCCACTGATCCCCAAAGTCAGGGCCGTGGTTGTCCAGCAGCCTCACCAAAGCATCTCGGTTCAGGCACACGTGAGGTTCGTAAATAGAACTCAGTTTCGCTGCATTTCCATCGTTACTGATCATCTGCAGAGTAAAACAAGAGCAAATTACCCTAACAGAGCATCTAATGAATCAAACAAATGCATGAGTTTTAAAATAAAAAGGCTTTGTTGGTTAATGAGGGAATCTTTCAGAAACAAATGTAGCTCCAGATTTAAAAAGCAAGACATGGACACCCTCTGGTGTCTTCTGTGAAAACTGCAAGAGCAGAAACAGTATTGCAACAGACACTGCAGTCGTGAATCCCATTCTAGCAGTGGAATATCTCTGCTTTGTTGAAGCAATTAAAAAAAAAAAGAGGAAAAGTAAGACAACTGCTTACAGCATGCATATCCAAGGCTTTTTTAGCTGGAGGATTCAATGATGAAACACTGGGATAATCCGATGCAAGCTGCGCATCAGCAGGCACTATCTTGTGGTCTGTTATGCTCACGCTGCCCTGGAGGAATGAAGGGGTACAAATATGGAAACAGACACTTAATCAACACCACCAGGCTGATTCTGCAATTCGAAACTTTAAGCTGAAAGTTTGTACGACACAAGACAATGATGTTTCTGCACAACTAAAAGTGAAGCAGGATCCTGCTCTGTTAGAACAGCACTTTGGGTTTACGTTACCATTGCTAGCAGCTGCTTCTCGAAGGTCAGCTCCAGCCCAGGATTAAACGTTCCCCCTGTCAAACTGGTCATCTCATGGATTTGGTAGAATTGAGGCAGAGTCTTAATCCACTCTAAATAAGCTCTAAATAATTCCTGAAACATATTTGGATTATGTTTAAAATATATATTTTTTAAATAAACCACTCTGAGCTGATGTTACAGAAAAAGCCTGAAGCATCCTGACCTCTGTGTACTGCACAGCTCCTTGTGATATGGAGTTGTAGTCATCAGCGCATATTTTAGCCACATCTTGCAGGTACACCATGAACTGTGTCACTTCATTATTTAATCGTGTTTGGAAATTCTGACAGATCAGAAAAGACAAAACATGAATACGATCAGCGGGGCTAAGATTTCGGAGAAAGAAATGCTGGATTCGATGCCGGTACCTGCGAAGGACTCCTGCTTTTTTTACTGATCAAATAGCCGACATGTGTTTTCTGTTCGTGACTGGTCAGGCTGGACATACAAGGAAAGGGCTGCCTCGGCTCAGGATAAGCAACATCCGCCTCAGTGTCGGTCGGCGTCTTTTTCGACTTTCTGCCCCTCTCGCAGACCTCTGTCCCCTCAGCGTCCCCGTCTGAAGACGAATCATCGCTATCACAGCTCTCCCAACAGGGCACTTGGCCGCTGCTGATGCAATTCTTGCCTTTTAACTTTGCAGCACCTTTTAAGTTCTGAGAGCCGGCAGCCGCTGCAGCCCCGTGACAATCTTGTTTTATGTCGACGTTCTTGGCAGGACTTAGGAATAAAAGGGAAAAACACATAAAACGAAATGTTGTCAAACAAACACCTGAAAAACAGAAAGTAAATGAACCGGTGTAAAACTTTGATATATATTTGCAGACCAACCTTTGAAGAAAGGCCCAAACTTGTCTCATGTGAGGTGCAAGTGAGTATTTTTCATAAAGATCTTGGGTAAAGAAAGGCCCATCAGGGACTGGATCATCATCCCTGGGATTAAAGGAAAAACAGTAATTGACATTCAAAACATTTTTATGTAGCAAATGGGCTTTTGTTTAAATAAGAACAGACTAAACCCCGATTTTACATGAAAGACAGACAAACTTAACTTCAAGCTATTGTGGGATTTTGTAAACCGTGGAGGATTTTGCCATCAGTGTGTGAATGGTTGTAGTGTGAAGCCCTTTGGAGTCCCAGAGACTTGATAAAGCACTATACCAGTGTGGACCACTTACCATTTCAAAACATACAAATACACAGTTTAAGCCTGTGTAATAACAGCAGTTATTTTCACTAGAGGCTGTTCTTGTGTGAGACCAATGACTCCACATAGAAGTTTTGAGCTTAGATGCCAATCAATAGAGCATTAATAAACAAACAAACAAACAACAAACAAATAAATAAATAAATAAATAAATAAAGCCGTTACTGACACATTTTAGTAATATTCCTGATAATATACAGAAACAGCAATGTTACTACTCAGTGACTTTTATAGTACTGTAATTCAGTGCTGCATCAAGTTATATTACAGAATGCATAAATTGGTCAGAGCGTTTAAAAACTACAAAATTGCTATTCTGCATTCGGTCATCCTGTTGCAACAGCTTTGACTTGTTGAAGCAGCGACTCTACAAGACCTCTTGAGGCACGTCTACAGCATCAGTCCTGGACTTAATGTATGAGATCTGATTTTCACATCGTGTAGAGATGATCACCAGGACTGCAATCTGTCAAACCAGGAAACTTAAAAGCATTCACATGATTCCCTAACCTATTCCTTTACTAAATTCGTTCAGGGTGAGGCATGGTTTCTGACCAGTCCACATAAGAAGTAGATATAAGCCATTCTTCACACCTTACCTTTAACACTGAGCCTGGAGTGCCTGGAATATGTTGCAGGTTTGACAGGTGCAATGGAGCACTTCTATTAATTCCTCACAATCATCATCTGTAGATAATGTACTATTGGGTAGCTGCAAATGTTTGCTCATTTTTATCTTCTAATATATCAACTTACAACACTACAGAAATCTATTGACAGTTGCTGTTATATTGAGAAACCTTTCTGGTTTTGGATGGAAAAGAACATTACAATACAAATATCTGGTTTTGTATCATTTATAGTAATGTTACCGTGACATTCAACTTTTAACTCAAACACTACTGTGTTGAAAAAGGAAACAGACACGGCGACGCGCATGCGCAGTACGTACGGCGAGTACACGCGCCTCCGTCTGAGCAGCTAAGAGAATGGCCGAGTAGTTTGTGATTTAGAAGTTCAACATAAAAACATTTGTCCATTTATGATAAACACTAAATAACCCATATAATGGTAATAATTTACTCCTAGAATTACTCTAAAAACGCATTTAACTTACACTCACTGCGGCAATAACAATATTCAGTTCTTAGTAGTAGCTTGCCCTCCTCCTGAGTCCTGGTCCACCGACAAGACAAGTTTACTTTGACGATTAAAGTTAATGAAGTGCAGTTCCCTTATAAAACTCTCCTGCTCAAAACAACTTTACTAAAAGGAGAACAACCTTTGTTACGTGACAACAAAAGCAACACGACGTCATTTTATTGAGGCAACAAGAAATTAATAGCTATTTTCTTGGACTTCAACACATAAACTTGCATTCTGTTGCAGTGATATTTGTGCTCACTTACCATTCAATCTCCATTTATGTTCACAGTCTGATGTCCGCAGAAATAAAGAAGCTAAACTTAAGGAAAATGGGTCATTTGTGAGTTCATCACCGCTGCTAAACGTTCGACAGACGCAGTTCTTCGCGTGGTGAAAATATAGCAGCATTGAAATGACTTGTGTGCACTGCCGCTCCCAAGTGGACATTAGTGGTATTGCAGCTCACTGATTATTGATAGTTTAATGCTCATTTGTACTATTTAATCTGCTGCTTTTGTGTCAGTTATTAGAATAAATATTTAACTGTGACCTCCCTGCATTATTCCTTGTATCTATCACGATAGTAATTTAATTATTTTAGTATTCTGTCATTAATTGATAGTATGTACAGACCATTTTATTGACTGAATTTGTACTGCCTAAAAAAAAACCCCATTTGCAATCCTTAGTGTTCACATTCACTGACTCAAATCCATCACTATGACCTAAAAAAAACTTCAACTTTATTTGTAGTTGATTATGCAAAATCTGTCAAACATGGTTGAAAAAGTATGTGTATTTAGTGCATTAAATCATTACAAAAATATTATCCTCATATCAGTTTTAAAAAGAATTTGATGAGAAACTTATGGAATGAAAAAATAATAATTTACACTAATTATTCCTCAACTTTATCACACCGCTGTTCTCATTGTTTCATCAAAACCTGGAATGTATTACATGGAAATTTAAACTGAAATATTAATGCTCCTTGCAGGGAAATTGAGTCATTCATTAAAATAACAGATTTTCACTTGAAGCCTGGAACTACAAAAGTTCAACTTGTTAAGAAAATTACAGACTAAATCTGAGAATAATCTTTCAGGGAACTTCACCATCGAGACTTTAAAAATGGTTTCATTTTATACGTGTGACCAAAACATAAACACAAAGGCTTATAAAGTTGTTGCAATTACTGTTCATCCCAAATTTCTTGTAACGTGTGTTATTTTAACCCTTTTTAGAATTATTGACATCACAGTTTGTAACATAAGTCTGTTAGTATAGATGTTTCCAGGATGGTGAACTAAACTGATCAAATATTGTTGCACAAAGTAGAATGTTCAGATCTGATTATGTTTTTGAAGTAAAATGTTAGTTTTTTTTACTTTTACCAGGAGAATGAGCTGGAAATAAAAAGCAGAAAAGAGAGATGGATGAACAATCGAGGGGAGGAAAAAAAAGCCCATTACAAGCGGTAAATTTTATTATGGGATAACAGCACATAAAGCACATCTAAAATCGATGTGTCCAATGCACTTTTAATAAAGGTAATATTAAAGGTACAGTTTCTAAGTACAATATAACAACATTCATATTAGAATGAAAAGTATTTAAAAGACAACATTAAATTTCTTATTTTTCTTTACAGCTGTATTTACAAAATGAATCAAAATACTTATTTTCATATTTAAGAATCGGACAAGAAGGAGCAAAACTACATTTGTGAATAGACTACCTGCTAAAGAGAGTTCAAAAGAGCTGGATAAAAAGGTACATGATCAACTGTCCCCATTTAACAACAGTAGCAAACGTGTGACTTAGAAACTTGTGCCAACCGCACACTAAGTTTGGGCTTTTCCATGTTTTTTTTTCTTCTTTTTTATTTATTTTTTTAATTGATTTGCATCCCTGCTCCACTCACTCCTCATGTGGAGCTCTCCCCAACAGACTCAGGGCACAATGAACACAAAACATTAAAGAAATCCAGACGTCTTGTATTGTTGGCTTGTTTTACAAACACATACAAATATACAACTTAAATCTTCTGTTTGCAGTCAAAGAAAAAGCAGATGTACCAGATAGAGAAAAAAACTTAGAAACTGCGAGTTTGCTGTTCGCTTTTTGCTTAATTCTAAGAAATGTGCAAATGAAATTTTCAGTAATACTTAACCACGAGCGTTTATTGACCGTTTGAGATCAACAGGAAATAAAACTTCCCAGTTTCTGAAACAATGTGTGTGTGGGGGGTGGGGGGACACTAAACAGACCATCTATACATTAAAACTCTTCAACATAATCAAGTGAAAAGAACACATGAAGAAGAAAATGAAAGAACATTTTTTAAGTGCATGAAAAGTCATCCTCTTGTACAAAATACATTGCCACTTCAATACACATTTGGAGAGAGAAAAAACACACACGCACACGCACAAGAAGGGACAATCAGACCCATGTATGCATTTTGTCACACCAAGAGGCACTCAGTGTGATAACGTTGTGTATTATTGCGAGCATATCCTCATTGATATTTGCTACAGAGTTAGAAAGAGAGAGAGAGAGGAAAAAAAAGGTCAACTTTCTCTTGAAATGGCAATCCTTTCATGGACATTTTTAACACTTTCATGTGGTGCAAAAAGCTTTATGCCACTGATCTGAAAAATAAGTTTGAGGGATGGAGACTAACAGAAGCACACTGAGGCTCCGTTTGATGAAATCCAAGCATCACTTCCCTGCATCAGGTGAAGGACAATGAAGACACGGGAGTGAAACAGAGAGCATCTTAAAGAGATAGCTCAGATCATAGGAAGTGGGGTTCTGTGGAAAGAATGCGTGTGACAATATCTCACCTGTTGCAGATAGCTCTTTGAACCACGGTTTATGGAAATGGAGTTTGATTCTGACCAGACTGATAAGCCAACAGCTAGTGGAAGAGGGGCCAACACCTTAGTTGCCACCTGGTGTCTTAAATCAGTGTTTTTCATATTAGTTTGTTGAAAAGTTGATTTTTTTCAGTGGGAATATAACAGTGTTTAAAACTTATTTCTTATGCTAAACTATTTTAATAATTATTGAATCGTGAATAAAAGTGAGAAAAAAACAATCAAAAATTGTTTTTTCTTCACATGTTTTACAGCATTGTTTGTGGGGGTCCCTGGCCAGAAGTTATTGTTGTTTCAGGGGCCATGGCATGGAAAAGTTTGGGAACCCCCGTCTTAATAACAGCCCCTTACTTCATGTGTTCACACGTGTAATGGAAAAAATGCATAGAAATGATTTTGTCACTGAGAACTTAGAATAAAGAGGGACATTATTGATATAACAGCAATAAGTATAAAAAACTTATATAAGTAGTAGTAGCAGCTAGCTGTAGCACTATTACAAGTATTTAAAGGTTCATAGGCAACAAAACACATTACCAAAATTTTCAGATCAGCGTTAGTTTACAACAAAACCCATTTTGTCTTCGACAAGCCAACAGCTTGTCAGTATCACAATTAAACTGTTTTTTTTAACTGTGGTTATTCAGAGGGATATCTGCAGCAGGTAAGATAACAACTGTTATAGTCTTTCCACATATTTTCACTTCAAAAACAGATGAACTATGCCTTTAAAATCTGACAAACTACAGTCTCAATGAGTGGTTTATTTTTTATAGTCAGACAAAAATATATAAAAAAAAACACAAAAACACAATACTGCTGCATCAGTTTGAATGCTTTCCTCTAAACCAGAAAAGCAACCTTAAATAGCTTGTTATTTAGCAGATTATAGTTTTGCAATAAGTCAGAAGGAAATAAGTGCCTTATCCCAGGGCTAGCACACTGATACAGGTACTGGCTGGGTAAAATTTTAACCAACTATTGTTTCATTTTTTAAATTATCATTATCATTTGTCGAGTCCTAATATCAATAATACATTAAGAAGCAGTGAAATTATTGAACTAATAGGGCGGCCAGGCGTAGGAATCGATACTTGGTTCACAAAATGAACTTACCTAGCACCACACTTTAGGGTAAACACAAAATTAAATGTCAGCACACCCCTTTTTTTCTATCAAACTAATCCTAAAGAAGGGAAGCAAATAGAAACAGTTTAATCGTACAATACGATGCAATCGATAAACAGATAAATAGTTTCATCGGGTAGGCCTTAAGTAGCAGTATTTTCCTCTTACCTATACAGACAGAAGTTACAAAGCTACCTTTATACACATGATCAATAATATTATTAAATATGGTGAACAGACAGCCAAGAATGAGGGAGAGCGTGTGAAAAATAACATGTACAGTACGCAGGCGGCGTCAAGTTCTCCACCTGGGAACAGAACTGGTCAAATATACAGATGGATTTAAAAAAAATCTACTGAATCAACACAAATAAACCAAAATAGTGATAAATAAGAGGTGTATTTACATGCAGATGCTCAGAGACTCTTTAAGCACAAAAGAATGAAAAAAAAATACACCGACATATATTATTGCTTGACATTCAATTATGGCTAAAAGTTGCTTGTTTGTTTGTTTTTTTTTTCTTTTTGTTCTTTTTCTTCAAACTATCAAACTATATTCTTAATTTTACTTAATCGCAAATCCTTATCAGCTGTGCTTTTTTTGTGGCGGGGCGGGGAAAAGGAGTTTCAATAAAACGCAATGACGGATTTTGTCATTCCGGGCAACACACTGGCGAGTTTAAAGCGTGACATAACACCGATCTGCACAATTTACGGTCAAGAGGGGCTCAAGACTGCTTTGATTTATTTTTCTTTTTTTCTTCTTCTTCTTTTAAAAAAAAGGCAAGAATTTATTTCAGTTCAGGCTTCTGGCCCGACTTGATAGCAAAAAAGCCCGTTTAGGCTGTGAAGCTGGTCAATGGAGGCCACCACAGAGTTTTACAGACCGCTGAATTGCTGAAGGCATTATGTTACACTTTTCAAAAAAAAAAAAAAAAAAAAAACTACACTTATTATGAATGGATCAAGCTCAGCATTATCAAAACTTTTTTTATATTAAATACGTTTTTAAATTGATCTTTTACAAAGTTTAAACTAAAATCTGAACTTCCTCATTCACATGACCCTGTTCCTCTGTAATTATTAAAGCCTTGTCTGGGGGTTTATTTTATTCACACACGGTGAAAACAAACACACACACACACACACACACACACACGCGCACACACACACACACACACGCACACACACACACACACACACACACTATTGCTTTTTTATACAAAAAGACACCATAGCAGAGACAGAATGAACAGCACATTTTACTGTTTACTAAACACTGATTGAATAGCACATTTAGCATCAATCGCTTACCTAAACTGGGTTTATCTCAAATTAAAGTATAGAAAAAAGAAAACCTTTCAAACATAGTTTATAATTAGACACAAGTACTCATGTGATAATCATTTCCTGTCCTCCAGTCTGTATCGCAACCATGGATCGAAGAGAGAGAGAGGAAAACAAAAAAAGACTAAATGGTTTTTTTTCTTCTTATAAACACATTGGATGAATCAAGTCAATTCAAAAGGCTGATGTAAAGACCCGTAATTGTAACGCAAGGCATATTGCTTGTTATAGATTTTGCAGAACGCACGACGAGCCACTCGTTGAAGTCGAGAGAAATGACATTTTGACCTTTCGGTGGCAGACTTTAGCTGGTCACATTGACAAAAGTGGCTTCACCCAAAAAGAAAAAAAAAAACACTTTTGTAAACTGTTTAAAAGGCAGTCGGCCAAATCTGATGGTTCTGTTTTACGTCCAGGGACTGGAGTCCAAAAAAATAAAACAAAAGCAAAAAAAAAGACGTTTTACTTTAACGGAAAGCTTCGAGCCGTGTCTCCGTCCAACCTGTTTTCCTCCCTGAGCGTTCGCGTCTCGGCTTTTTCCATTTGCTGCTCTTAAAAACCTGGATTGTCTTGCAGTGTTTCCAGACTGGGTTTGTTTGCTCTGAGACTGAGGTTAACTAGTCATAGAGGGCTTGTGCATATCCAAGAAAAGAAAATAATTAAAAAAAAATCATTGGATCTTAACAGGTACAGCAGATCTACAAGAACACAACAGATTCAGTATTGCATAAGAATATTTGGTTTTCTAAGAAAGAGGGTAAT